AATTAATACTCTCTATTAATTAATATTAATACAAATTGTCTCTATTAATTAATATTAATACAATATACGTCTCGCTGTTGATGTTGTTTACAAAAATTAAATACTTGTAATGTTTTACAGGTTCATCAGGTTGTAAATAATGATCCTGACCTACCAAATATGTCAAAGAGTACCATGCAGGCAGTTTTAAAACATTTAAAATTTAAATATGGCAGTCGTAAACGACGCAGCTGCTTGACAGACCGTCAAGACCTAATTCTGTGGCGTAGACTGTACTTGACGACAATCAAAAAATATCGGAGACAAGGAAAAATAATTTATTATCAAGATGAAACCTGGATTAATAAAGGTAATTGAATATTTTTATTTACAACTGTATTTTGTGATTAAGTTTTTCAGTGTCAAAATGCATTTGTGTCAGTATTATATTATTTATATGATTTTGTGTATTAACAGGTCATATAACTGATAAAGTTTGGGTGGATACAACAATAGAATCTTCAAAACAAGCGTTTTCTAAAGGTGTGACAATAGGCCTAAAGAGCCCAACCGGTAAAGGTCGACGCCTAATAATTTCACATATAGGCAGTGATAAAGGTTTTGTAGAAGCCGGTTTACTTATTTTTGAATCGAAGAAAAATAGTATGGACTATCAAGAAGAAATGAACTCGGAGTGTTTTGAGGAATGGCTTAAAAGAATTTTGCCAAATTTAAAGCCAAATGCATTAGATAACGCACCGTACCATTCAAGAAAAGTCGAGCGTATCCCCACTTCAAACTGGCGGAAGGCTGATATTATTCAGTGGTTGGATGAAAAACAAATTCAATATCAACCTACAATGATCAAGGCTCAATTAATAGAAATAGTAAAATTACAAAAAACTAATTACGAACGCTTCGCTGTGGAAGAGTTGGCCGCTGAATACGGTGTCTCAATCCTGCGTCTGCCCCCCTATCACTGCGAGCTCAACCCAATAGAGTTAGTTTGAACTCAAGCAAAGGGGTACGTGGCCAGGAACAATAAAACTTTTAAAATAAAAGACATAAAAAAATATTTGAAGAAGGTCTGAAGGAAGTCACACCTGAAAATTGGAGACAGTGCATCAACCATGCCATAAAAGTTGAAGACAAAATGTGGCAACTAGACCACATCAGAGATGAATGTGTGGATTCATTCATTATAAATGTAACTGATTCCGATTCCGATTCTGAATAAACCGATTCAGAATCGGAGTCGGAATCAATATCAACTGTAATGAATAAAAACTTATAAATTGACTTGTATTGTGTTTTACTTAATTCCTCTGAATCTCTTTAAACATTTTTTCCAGCTTTTGTAATAATGTTGTAGTGAGCAATTTCAATATGCTGGTAAGGTCCATATTTCTAAAATCATATTATTTCATATGGTATGTATTACATATTTATAATAAAAAAAACGCTTTGATACCTAATAAAATAAAGCATGACTAAATGTCAAAGTCTATTGATTGCCGAACATCACTATTGTAGCGGTCATCTCTTTTGTATCAGTGACAGTTGCACTTGTCATTTTACTGACTCGAATTAATAGTTTTAGATATGGTGGCTGAACAGGAATGAAAACACATAGGTACTTCACAGTTTCTTCAGTATGGAGAGTAAAAATCACGAAGATATTTCTCTGCAGGGATTGATGAATAAATGTCTATTGATTGCTGAACATCACTATTGTAACGGGTCACCCTATTTTGTATCAGTGACAGTTGCACTTGTCATTTTACTGACTCGTATTAATAATTTTAGCAGTGGTCTTTCTACGATTTCACAGTATATATGGAAATTCTCCCGATTTTTCTACAGATTTCAAACTTTTAAGCTGGCAACCCTTTTCATGTATGTTTAATGTTACGGGGAAGCCCTCAATAGTATGGAACTAGTGCAGAATGTAATTCATATATTTTGGGGAATACCCTTGTGTCCTACAATTCGAAGGGGCTTCTCGCACGGGAATTTACCTGTCTAGTCTATATAAACAGGATCTCGGTTTTATTTTTTCATTAATTTTCTTAACTTTGAAGAGAGAGTACCTAACTTAAAAAGTGCCTACAAAATCAGATAGGTAATTAAGTTAAATAAAATGTCATCTGACGAGGAGCCAAGCACAAGTGGGTTTTTCTTTAAAAGACTCTAAATTTGTCTTCCGACTTAATAATTAAGCATACTGATTTTTTGGAATGCATTTGATATGATTTTTATTTACATTTGGCAATATTTTATATGTTACCAAGTTTAAAAAATATATACAACTGGTTATTGTCAATCAACGCTTCAAAAAGGTCATCAAACGTCATTTTACTCTTATTCCAATTGTGTATCTTCAGGGAACTACTTAGCTCCAAATTATTTAATATCAAATTAAAAATATAATAACATGTCCTATTTAAAGGCTTATAAATTACCCTTCGTTTACATTAATAAACTTTTAAAACACTTGCCATTAACTAACTTAAACTTTAAGTAAAAATATTGTTATAAGTTAAACGTCATTCATCGCAATAACGTAAAAAAAAAAATATTATTAAAAAACTACATAGCCAACATAACTTTAGTTCACTCTCCCGGGTGCGCGGGAGGGGACCTCAGTTGACGGTAACGTCGCGGTGAATTAACACGTGTGTTTCTGTGAGCTGTCAGTATTTTTTTCTAATTATTTATATTTTGTCATCGATTAAGTCATTTGTATTTCGGTCTAAGTACCTTGAATACACACACGTAACATTGTCGTTTGTTTTTATTATAATATCCAGCAGAAATAGATTTCATTTAGGATAATCATTGCTGACGTTTTATGCTCACAGACAAGTTCATGCAGGTTTTTTCCTCAACTCGTCATTTTAAGCTACATCATTATGGGCAACATACCGTCAAGACTAGCAGATCAATGGGTTCATTTTGGTTCAGATGTTGGAAATTTTGATCAATTTTACAAAATCATGGAATCAAGATTAGAAAATGTTATAATTAAAAAAGTTTCCGAGGAAGAAATTATTCAAAGGGAGAAATTGATTCCCGAGCAGTTGAAACCCTTCAGAGGCACCCCCTCTCTGTGCATCAAGTTCTTTGGGACCTTTTTACACCAAAAATTACAATGAGAAGTATGAGTTGCTTTCTATGTGACGTTGGTGAAATTTGCAACCATGGAAAGCATCTAAAGCATCTAGGGTATATTATCAACAGTAATTATGCCGTTAATAAAAACACTATTACTGACGTAACTTCTTTTAACATAGTTCCATTGGCAAAAACTAAACGCAAATTTACAAATCAGAAAAATCAAGCTTATTTCTGATATTCTTATTGATGTCACCAATAAGACTACACATCAGTAATTAATATTTCATACATTTAATGATTATTTTGAGTTCTTTTTTCTTTGTGTTCTGTTACCCATAAATCAATATAAGAATACTTGTAAGACATAATTAAGGTGTTGATTAGTAAGATAATGGTATATATTTGATGTATAAGGTTAAGTAACTAATAAAGTTTTTGACTGTTCCTTAAGTTATTGTTCATTAAGTGAATAGTTGACATACATGATTATTAAGTAAATAACCAATTAAGTAGTTGCTACAGATATAAGTTAATTAATGACTGATTTTTAATGATTACCAAAGAATTAATTATTTAAGATGACTACCTAGAATGATTAAGTTTTTTAGAACCAAATAGTTATAATCTCAATTAGTTTTGATTATTTGTTAGTTTCTTATCAAAGTTTGGTGAATAAAATTGTTTTAAATGATTAAGTAAGTGTTTATTGCGAAATACCCAAATTGAAACCTTTTAAATCATTTACTACAACACTGCGTCATTATGTTCCATGCTGATATCATTCTCAGCATACTGTGTCATTTTCCTCAACGTGAATAATTCTAAATTTAAAAATATTGGTTTAAATATTAAAATAAAACAAGTGCCCTTCTTTTTGAAATTAAATTTTATACACATAGATTGCATTTAACTTATTAAAACATCCTTGCATTGAGGTTTATTAAAAAAACTAAAATTTTGTCAAAGATAATATATATCAAAGAATGACCCAAGTACGAGTGTGAAAAGAAAAAAATATTTACAATATTATAGAAAAGAATGGGACGAAGAATTTCCAGGTTGGCTGCAAGATAGCCGTAAAGGCGAAAGCTATGCCTATTGTAAGAGTTGCAATAAAGATATCATCATCACATGCTATAAAGAAACATAGTTCTTCACAAGCACACTCAGTATCATCAAAGAATATAAAATCACAACCGAAGATATCATCATTTACTGTGACTAAAACTCAGAAATCTGATATACTGGTTAAGCAAGGTAATTTTTTTAGTTATTTATTTTACTACTTACATTTTTATATTATTTTGTTTTCTTCTTATCGGTTTATAGAAGCAGTGCATATAATTATGCCCTAATCGCTACTAGATATACCTACGTAGTTTTAATTCTTAATTTTTAATTTCAGGTGAAATAAGATTAGCCTCGTTTGTTGCTGAACACAATCTACCATTCGCTATTATGGAGCACCTACCGAAGTTGATGCAAGCCGTTGTCGTGATTCAAAAATGGCAAAAGAAATAAAGTGCTCTTCGACCAAAACTCATGACATAATTGATCATATTAAAGGTAAAGAAAGTTTCAATAATTTATGTGAAGGCAAACTAAGTTTTCGCTTATTATTGACGAGTCCACTGATCTTAGTACAATCAAACACCTGTGCTTAGTTTTATGCGAAAATTAATCGTATTAAAGATTCTTTTTAGCTGTTATTCCATTAGAAGAAGCTAATGCAGCAACCTTATTTGAACACAGTGTGAACTTTTTTAGAAGCAATAATATTCCATTTAAAAATAGTCTAATAGGTTTTGCATCTGATGGGGCAAACGTAATGATGGGACGTAATAATTCTGTTGTAACTTTGCTGCAAAATGAAATTCCCAACATTTTTATACTTAAATGCGCCTGCCATTCGTTTCATCTTTGCGCGTCATATGCTTGTACCAAATTGCCACGCTTTATAGAGGATCTTGTAAGAGACATTTACAATTATTTTTCTTCTAGTCCAAAAAGAGTGGCAGAGTTTAAAAACTTTCAAATGTTTTGCAACTTAAAAGTACATAAAATACTCCACCCCTCTCAAACACGCTGGTTATCAATACATGCAGCAGTAAAAAGAATATTGGAACAACTCTCTGCTCTAAATTTTTTATAGATCAAATCTCTAACAATGATCATCTTTTAGCTGCAGAACATATATTACAGAAGCTCCAAGAAGCAACTATGATGTTATTTTTGGAATTATTAGATTTTGTATTACCATTATTTACCGATTTAAATAAAGAAATGCAAGCGGAACACCCGCAAATTCATAATTTATATGAAAAACAACTGGAACATTAAAAACTATTTCTGATTGTTTTTTAAAAAGAGAATATTTAACTAGCACTCCAATAGAAAATGTTGATTATAAGAATCCCAGAAATTTTATGGATATTGTCGCCGTATACTATGGTGCTGCTGCATCTAATACACTTCTAAGTAGCTCAGAAAATCTAAACTCAGATCAAGTAAACTTGTTTAAATGCAGATGCCTAGATTTTTTATATTGAAGCTTGTAAGCAAATAACCACGCGTTTTCCATTGAAAAATAGCCCAATAAAAGGTTTAGACATAATTGATCCAAAAAATGTTAAAATTGGTAAAACTGCTTCGATAGTTCCTGTGAGTAGGCTCTTTCCCAATATTGTTCACAGCAATGATTTCCAGGAAACTGATACAGAATGGCGCATTTTAAGAAATTGTGAACAAATCAAAACATTTCCTGTTGATGTAGAACTATTTTGGAATGAAGTAAGTTTATTAAAGCGTGGCGATGAAACTCAAATGTTTCCATTGTTATCTAATTTCGTCTTTAATATTTTATCACTTCCCCATTCATCCGCTAACGTTGAACGCATATTTACACATATTAATCTTTTGAAAACAATACAGCGAAATAGGCTGTCTACTGAATCAATCACTAGCCTATTACATTCAAAACGACTCTTTAATACAGCTAGTTGTTATGATTTTGAAATTAATTCCAAGATGACCACGGCTATGGCCAAAGAGTATTGGTACCATAATAAATAATTATACTTAAGCGTGACTGCGTGACTGTTATAAATTAGTCTGTAAGATTGAATTTTGTTTTTTTTTTCAAATACCGATTTTAACTGGCAATTCTACCGATCTCGCTCTATGAGGTTTGAGACCACTGAATTTTAGATATGGTGGCTGAACAGGAACGCAAACACATACTTCACAGTTTCTTCAGTATGGAGAGTAAAAATCATCAAGACATTTTTCTGCAGGGATTCATCACATGTCGTGACGCTGCTCGCAGCAAATCGGAAAACTTTCGTGTTAGTAAGGACAAAACCTTCTCGTATAGTGTTATGGTCGGCAATAAAAGGCAGACAGTATATCATGCAGCATTCATGAGTATCTACACAGTTACCAAAAATCGTGTAAAACCTACGACACCTGCTTCGAAAAGGTGAAATTCCAGTCAATTGTCGAGGTAAAAAGCCGATTACCAAGGCACTCGATGTGGATCTAATTACTAAAGCTATCCAGCACATCTCTCAATTCCTTACAAAGGAGAGTCATTATTCTTCTCACACAATCCTGTACCTTCCTGCTCAACTCTCGGTGAAAAAAAATTATAGAATGTTTAAAGAACAAAACCCTGACACTACATTCAAATATGAATATTATTCGTATTATTCAGAGAGAATTTTAATTTTGATCTTCGTTTCGGAAGACCAGCTGTGGACACCTGTTGTTATTGCGAAGAACTCAATCTGAAAATAAATTCACCAACTTTGAATGACGTGGCCAAAAGAGCAGCAATGGCTGGAAAATCTGTGCACAAAGAGCAAAAAAGTTTTATGCAAAACTAGATGAAGCTAAGACAAGATGTCAACATGAGGAAGACTTTTTGGGTTTGTTTTGACTACATGCAAAACATCTCCTTGCTAATAGTTCCAGTACAACAGCTCTTCTATCTGCGTCAACTAACTGTATCTGTGTTCAGCATACACAATATTAAGACAGGCAAAAACCTAATATATCTATACCATGAGGGCCAAGCCCATAAAGGACCTGACGAGGTATGCACATTTATTTTGAAATACATTCAAGAGTATGAAGGCATTTCAATAAAGAAGCTAATGCTCTTTTGTGACAACTGTGGAGGGCAAAATAAAAACCATTGCTTTTTTAGACTGAACATGGCTTTGGTAGACTCTTGTAGGTTCCAGGAAATTGACCACATGTACCAGATGAGACACTCTTTCCTACTATGCGACAGAGCATTCGGAGTCTTGAAAAGATCACTGCGCAGATGTGAAAGACTTTACACACTTCATCAGCTAGTGGAACACATAGTCCAGTCAAGCACAGTGCTGGATTTTTTCACTGTTCACATAGTGGCTAGAGGACATATTGAATTTTAAACAATGGTGGTCCCATTATTATAAAAAGACTGCTGTTATAGAGTTCTCACGAAGCTCGCGTCACCAGGCCCCATTATTATGTGTGATAAGGATTGACCGCCATGCGTTGTGTGTTTTGCTTACATTAATTAATTACTTCTGCATAGTCTTAACTTTTGTTTAATTCTTTGTTTCGAGATTGTGTTAGGGGCCCCGCATGTAGTTTTATTCATTTCATTCCTGTTTTTAATACTGGTGACTGAACACATTACTTGAAATATAACTGCATTTTAATTTCGCCACCCTGACTCAACTTCTGTTTCAACTTCTGCTACACTGCACTGTCTTTGGAAACAAAAGATAAAAGAGTACCAAGGTCTCAAAGAGTGGATTTTACTTTCTTAAAATTCCATCACTTCAATTTTATAAATGAACTGACAAAGCATACATTTTTGCTGAAGATCAATAACAGAGGGGTGGTACCCTTACAAGCCCAACATTCTATTCTATTCTATTTTTGTAAAGGCTGGCTGTTGTCTCCTTAGACAATTCTGCCAATGTCAGGGTTGAGTACTACAGATGATCAGTTTTTTTTTTGCAGTTTTACGTATCTTCCAGTATTGGCCGGTTGAGTGACCTAAAAGGGTTATATAAAAAGGTTATAGACGACACAATGACAAACACAACAGTTACAGATAAAAGCGTTAGTAATAAATGGGATTTTAAAATTTACAATTTAATTTTATTGGTGTGTATATACTTAGCAAGGACTTGTATGAAGGGAGAGTCCACCATGGTTAGTAAGTGGTTTACATTCACAGGGCGGGCGATATTTTTAGGCAGTATATCATAAAGAGAGATGGTATTTTTTGGGCAATTGAAAAATATGTGATTGACGTTTCCTTCGTCAAGACCACATTCGCATAACGAATGGTCCCTAACCCTAATTTTGTTTAAGAAGACGGGGGAGCATATGTGACCAAGACGTAAGCGAATAATGGTAGAAGTGGAGATTTTATCCAAGAAGCGGTATTTAAAAACCACGGCTTAGAGGGAAGAAAAGGCTGCAGACTTCTATAATGTTTCCCTTTGAACTGCGAGGAGTCGTCCCAGTGTGCTGACCATTCGCGATATGATTCGGCTTTAGCTTTGCTTCTTAGATCTTGGGCAAAGCATTTATCATAGGTTGGGCAACCCATCGTTACAGCCTCTTTTGCAAGGCTGTCTGCCTTTTCGTTACCTTTAATGCCAGAATGACCAGGGATCCATGAGAGGGCCACATTTATATTTTGAGAACGGCAGTTAAACAGAAGTTCACGGATTTTTAGAGTTATATAAAAATTTTGCCTGGCACGTAAAGGGAATTTTAAAATATCATCCAAAACACTTCGGGAGTCAGTGAAAACTATTGATTTGTTAAGTTTTTCAGAATGGGCTTCAATATATTTAATAGCTTCATATAAAGCAATGGCTTCACCCGAAAAGGAGGACAGTTCTGGCCGACATTTAAAGCTTAAAATTATTTGAAAGCGAGGGATCCAAACAGCAGCACCTACAGCTTCTCCATTGGTTGTTTTAGAGGCGTCGGTAAAAATCGGTGTCCAGTCAGTCCATTCTTTTGCGATAGTTTTGTTAAAAATTCTGTCGGCGCCAGGTTCGTTTTTGTTAATATTAAAAAAGGTTAAAATATTTGGTTCGAATATTAGTGTCTCATAATTTACATTAAATGTTGGGTTTCCGGGAAATTGTGCCATAGGGGGACCATTGATCAATTTTTCGTAACTGTTAGCTAAGCGGGGCGTGGTTTTATGTATCCAGTATTTAGAATTAGTAATGAGATTGGAAAGCTGACAAAGTCGAGAAAGCAGTGGGTGGTTAGAGTTTTCGGCTATTTTAAACAGGAATCGATCTGACAATAATTGTCTACGGATATTAAGAGGAGGATCCCCAGTTTCTACCTGTAGGGCATTTGTCGGAGAAGATCTCATTGCACCTGCGATTATGCGGAGACACCTAGACTGTATTTTGTCCAAGGAAGAAAGGGAAGTCTTATTGCAGGGTTCGAGTAAGAAAGTACCGTAATCGAAATAGCTTCGAACTATTGCGTTGTACAGAAGTTTTTGGCAGTAAGGATGAGAACCCCACCAAACACCTGAGAGGGCTCTGAGGACATTAATGCTTTTCTCACATTTATTATTGATATAATTGAGGTGAGAGGCACCAGACAAACGAGAATCTAATATAAGGCCTAAAAATTTAGTTTCATCTGTGCATGGCAATTCTTCCTCACCCAAGACAATAGGGGCGTAGGGAATTGTTCTTTTCCGAGAAAAAACTAGTACATTACTTTTGGATGGGGCTAAGGATAAACCATGTTCAGTTAACCACTCATTGAGATACCTGAGAGCTGTATTTAGTTGAATAGAGCAGTCTTGAACTGAGTCTGATGCAGAATATAGAGCTATATCGTCGGCATATTGCACGATGTCACAGAAGCTCTCAACACATTTTTCAAGGTCGGCTGTATAGAAGTTATAGAGGGTGGGGCTTAGTACTGATCCTTGAGGGAGCCCTCTCCAAACCATTCTAGGTGGAAGAAGACAACCCTGAAGGCGAACTGAGATGGAGCGTGCAGAAAGCATGTTAAATATGACATTGATCATCCTCACGGGAAGACTCAGCTGATGCATTTTCTGCCTGAGTAGCGGAAGAAGAACAGAGTCATAGGCTGATGTGACATCAAGAAATACACCGACCATATCTTGCTTTCTAGAGAAGGCGAGGCGAGCATCCGAAATGAATACACTAAGATTGTCCATGGTACCCATGCCCTTCCGGAATCCGAACTGTGTTTTTCCTAAAATATTATTATGTTCGAGTATCCATTCGAGTCTATTTTTAATGAGTAGCTCCATGATTTTCGCTAGCACCGAGGAAAGGGCAATAGGTCTATAAGAAAGCGGATCGTTAGGATTTTTATTAGGTTTTAAAATTGGGATAATTATTTGATGCTTCCAGGAGTCAGGAATTATGCCTGAATCATAAATTTTGTTAAGAAGCGCCAGAAAAAATACTTTAGAGTTTTCGGACATTTTTTTAATAAATGAGTAGGATATCCCGTCTACTCCTGGCGAGGAGTCACGTAAATGAGTGAGAACTGAAGATAATTCATTAATGGAAAAGGGGTCATCGGTATGATTATGCAAAGATATTGAGTGAGATAGGGGAACATTGTTGTTTTCATAAAAATCTTTATCTGGGACAAATGGAGGTGCCAGTCTATCCATGAATTCCTCGATCCAAGCAGAGGAATCTTTTGAAGGTGGCGGGTTATCCGAAAAAGACCCTCTAAATTTTTTTATTTTTTTCCACATTAGTGATAGTGGTGCTTGTGGAGATATGCTTTCGCAAAATGATGTCCACCCTTTACGTTTTTTACTTCTGAGAATTTTTTTGGAACAAGCTTTAACTCTTTGGAAGTTTAGGTAGTTGTCAAGGCTTAAATCATTAAGATATGTCTGCTCTGCTTCGTTGCGTTGTCTAATAGCCTGAGTACAATCGGAGTCCCACCAAGGTGGAGAGGATCTATTCCGGCCAGGTGTTTTTTTTTTCATAGGGATTGATAATTCTGCAGCGGAGAGCAAGGAAGAAACAAATTCATTG